CAATCCCAGCTCCCGGCTCCAATCCCAGTCCCGATCCTGGCTCCAGTCCCAGCCCCGATCCCGGTCCCAATCCCGATCCCGATCCTGGCTCCCGGCTCCAATCCCGGTCCCAATCCCAGTCCTGAATCCTGCCTTTATCCCAGCCCCAATCCCGGCTCCAATCCCAGTCCCGATCCCTGCTCCAGTCCCAGCCCTGATCCCGGTCCCGATCCCAGCTCCCTGCTCCAATCCCAGTCCCGATCCCGGCTCCCGGCTCCCATCCCAGTCCCGATCCCAGCTCCCGGCTCCAATCCCAGCCCTGATCCCAGTCCCAATCCCAGCTCCCGGCTCCAATCCCAGTCCCGATCCTGGCTCCAGTCCCAGCCCTGATCCCGGCTCCAATTCCAGTCCTGATCCCGGCTCCAGTCCAAGTCCCGATCCTGGCCCCAATCCCAGCCTTGATCCTGGTCCCGATCCCGATCCCGTCTCCAATCCCAGTCTCGATCCGGCTCCAATCCCAGTCCCAATCCCAGTCCCGATCCCGGCTCCCTGCTCCAATCCCAGCCCTGATCCCAGCTCCCTGCTCCAATCCCAGTCCCAATCCCAGTCCCGATCCCGGCTCCCGGCTCCAATCCCAGTCCCGATCTCAGCTCCAATCCCAGCCCTGATCCCGGCTCCAATCCCAGTCCCAATCCCAGTCCCAATCCCGGCTCCCAGCTCCAATCCCAGCCCTGATCCCAGTCCTGATCCCAGCTCCCTGCTCCAATCCCAGTCCCAATCCCAGTCCCGATCCCGGCTCCCTGCTCCAATCCCAGTCCCGATCCCCATCCCAGTCCCCCTCCCGACCCGATCCCGATCCCAGCCCTGGTTGGGAATCTCCAAACAAACCCTTTTATTTTGGGATGGAGCCAGCGGCGGGTGGGACAAGCCCGGTCCCCGCCCTGTGACACCGAGGGCCCCGAGGGGACAGGGACGTGGGAAACGGCATCCATTGGCCGTGGGACAACTGGGATGGGAGCGAGGTGGCCCCGGGGACCTGCGGTGACCTCGGAGCGGAACCCGTGTCCCCAAAATCCTGCCACGAGCTCAGGGTGACGCTCCGCTGTCCCCCGGCACCGCCCCGCTCCCGGATGTGGCACCGATTGTCCCCAAAGAGGAGGGTGGCACCTCTCGGAGCAAATCCTGTCCCCTCCCTGTCCCTTGTCGGGGTCTGGAGACCCCCCCCAAGGAAAGGAGAATCCAAACAACAGCAAAATAACGGGATTTGGGGACACTGGGGACACCGGAGGGGACTCGGTACCTTCTGGCAGGGAGGTGACACTGATGACGCGCAGGTTGGGGTTGGGGACAGGGAGGGGACAAATGTCCTTCCCCAGCCTGGGCACGGGGGGCAGCAGGAAGGTGATCTCATACTTGTGGAGGATCTTCAGGAATCCCACCTGGAAAAGCGGGATAACGGGGTGGGAAAGGGGGGGAGGGGGGCATTGTCACCCCCCCCTCCCCTGCCTTGGGGACAAGGGACACCGGAGAGTCCCCAGGAAGGTGGGGACAGCACCTGGAGAGGAGGAATTGTATCCTAAACATTCCCCCATTAAATCCTGGAGAGCTGGGATTTGTGCCCTAAAAAATTCAGGAAAAAAAAAATAAATTAGGGAATAAGAGGAATAATTCAGGAAATAAACCAGGAAAAGGTAAAAAACACGATGATTTTTCACCCCCCTCCCCCCAAAAAAACCCCAAAAATATGGAATTTTGGGGTGAAATTTTGGGAATAACGATCCGTGGATGTCAGGGGAGCAGGGAGAGGTTTTCCAGCCGTTCCTGGAAAAGGCAGGAGCTCCTCTTCCCATGGAATTTCTCCTCTGTCATGACAAAAACCAGAGCCCTCCGGAGCCTTGGAAAAAGCCATTTTGGGAGGGGAGTGAGCTGGGAATGATCCCTGAGGGAGAATCCAGGGTCGGGATCAGGAGGGTGGAATTCCCAAAATCCCCCATGGGCTGGGACCATCCCAAACAGCTGGAAAAGGATCCAGGGAGCTCCTTCCAGCTGCTGGAGAGGGACTGGGAACAAGCGCTGCAGGGCCAGGAGCCAGGGAATGGCTTCCAGTGGGAAAGGGGAGATTGGGCTGGGATCTTGGCAAGGAATTCCTGCCTGGGCTGCAATTCCCAGATTTTGGCTGCCCCTGGATCCCTGGGAATGCCCAAGGAACCGAATGAGCTCCAAGCTCCTCTCCCCTCCCCAAACCATTCCAGGATTTATCCCTTTAAAACCCTGGAAAAACGCTCGGCACTGGGAAAAAAAAACCAAAAAAAACCAAAACAACCCAGGAGCTTCTTTTCTCAGGCACATCCCGACCCCACCAGGGACCCCTCCCCGTGTCCCCGTGTCCCTGTGTCCCCGTGGGTGGCACCGCCACCCCCTCATCCCTACGGATCACGCGCAGGGCTCTGGTGGGAAAACAACAACAGCCGCCCCCGGAGCGAGCGCCGGATTTGGGATGGAATTCCGGCCTCCCGCGCCCGCCACGAGGCTCTGACTCAGCGCTGGTGGCAGCTGCAGGTGCCACACGTTGGTGGCACCGCGGGTGGCACCTCGTCCCCTCCGCTGGCGTCGCCCCCGGAGCCCTTGGGAGCCACCCACGGGAATGTGGCCGGGATAACCGGGAAAGGGTGGGAATGGCTGTGGTGGGAGCCAGAGCGGCCCCAGAGTCCCCAGAATGGGGCAGAGGGGACAGCGCCACCTGCCCCACGTGTCCCCAAAGCCACCCAGACGTGGCGCTGGATTTGGGGGAAAAACGGGACAATCCCGAGCTGGTGCCCTCAGGAGCAGCCTTAGGGAATAACAGGGAATTCTGGGCTGGGAACGCCTCAAAATCCGGGAATTTTCGGGAGTCGGGAGCCCTGGAGTGCCCGGGGGAGGGTGACATCCCCCTGATGTCCCCCTGTCCCCAACCTTGACCAGGAAGTGGCCGTCCTTGTCCTGTGTCACCATCACGGCCGAGTCGTGCAGCTGCTCCTGGAAGTGGACGTGGCCGTGGGTCCCCTCCTGGGGGTGGTGGCCCTGTGTCCCCTCCTTGGGGTGGCCCTGGGTCCCCTCGGGGGCGAAGCGCACTCCTGTCCCCTTCGCCTTGCTGCCTGCAGGTGACAAAGCCCCGCCCCGGGTCACAGCCGCGTCACCAAGGGAGGTGGCCTCGCCTTGGGGACACGGGCGGAGCGTGGTGGCACCTGGGGGGGCTTCCCCGTCACCCCCTCCCTGTGTCACCAGGGACACGGGGGACCTGTGGTGACAGCCAGCTCCTCTCTAAGCAGGGAGCGGGCACTAGCTGGTGTCCAGAGAGTCCCCAAGTGTCCCCAAGGGTCCCCAAGGGTCCCCAAGTGTCCCCAAGTGTCCCCAGGTTCGGCAGGCTCCGCTCCCTCCTGTGATGTCCTTAGGACAAGTGACACAGGGACAGAGGGACAGAGGTGACCAAAGCCAGCTCCCCTCTGAGCAGGGACCGGCCACCAGCTGATCTCCAGAGGGTCCCCAAGGGTCCCCAAGTGTCCCCAAGTGTCCCCAGGCTCGGCAGGCTCCGCTCCCTCCTCGGGCCGAGCGGTGCCACGGGGAAGGTGACACGGGCAAGGTGACACGGCTGTGACAAAGCCAGCAGGACAGCGCCAGGGCCCTGCGGGGGTGGCCACCAGCTTGGGGACAGCGCTGTCCCCACGGAGGCTCAAATCCCGTGGGATTTTCCACGTGCGCCGCTTCCATGGAAAATCCACCCCTTCCTCCTCCTCCTCCTCCTCCTCCTCCCGCCGAGCCCCGGCCCCGCTCCCAGCTGGCAGCAGATTGTCACCGCCGCCAGCAGCAGATTGTCGCCTCCCTTGTCGCCTGAAGAAAAGGCTCTTTGTGCTGGCAGCGCCGGGAATCCCGGGATTTAATGAGCCGGGATTTAATGAGCCGCGATTTAATGAGCCGCGATTTAAGGTCCCGCCATTGTTCGGCCCCCAAAGCCCCTCCCGCACTCCTGGGTGGGAGGGGGGGGGACAGCGAGGGGACACGGTGACAGCGTGGGGACACACGTGGGGACACGCGGGGGACCCTCCCGGGTGGCACCGTGGCGATCCCGAAGGATCTGCGGGGATCCCGGATCCCAGATCCCAGCCCGGGAATCCCAAACCTCGGTAATCCCAAATAAACCGTTGTCACCCTGGTGGCACTTGGGGACAGCATTTGGCCACCCCCTCCCGGGCACGGACCCTCTGGAAAGAGTGGGGTTGGAGCAGGAGGAAGGTGGGAATTTTTCCCGGGAAAATTCCCGCCGGGAATCGGCTGTGCCGGGATTGGGGAGCCCCAGCCCGGGGACTTTGGGTGGCTTCGGGAGGGGACAGCAACCAGGGAATCCCAAATCGGGAATCTGGGATTTGTGGGATCAGGGAATCCCCTGGATCTGGGATTTGTGGGATCAGGGAATCCCCTGGATCTGGGATTTATGGGAGCAGGGAATCCCCTGGATCTGGGATTTATGGGATCAGGGAATCCCCTGGATCTGGGATTTGTGGGATCGGAACCTGCTGGACCCTGGGGGTCACCGCGTCCCCCCCCAGGGGGGGCACAAGGTCCCCTCCAGGATGTCCCCAACCCTTTTCTTTTTTTTCCTGGGAATCTCCTGAGGCTCTCCCGGCCTCATCCCAGCGGGAAGGAGCCGCCCCCAGCCCCATTCCCAAGGAAATTCCCGGAGCGCAAAGGAGCCGGAATCCCCCCAAGGTTCCCCGGGATTCGTCTCAGCCAAATCCCTGGATGGGGCAGAGTGACCCCAAAAACTCCGGGAAACCCCTCAAATCCCTGGACAGGGACAGAGAGAAGCTCCAGGGACAGAAGGGACCCTCCCAAAACCCCGGGAAAATCCCAAATCCCTGGATCCGGGCAGGGGACAGGGAAGGGATTTGGGGACTCACTCTTGCCCGCTGTCGCCATCTGTCCCCTGCGCCGTCCGTCCCTGTCGCTGTCCCCAACTTCAGCGGCCGGGGGGCATCGTCCGGGAATTCTGCGGGAATGGGATGGGAATGGGAAGGCGCCAATTCCGTCCCATTGAGGGGACAGCGGTGGCACCTTGGTGGCACCGAGGTGGCCCCGAGGTGGCCGCGATCCTGGCGGGGAGGAGCCTGCGGCATCGCCAGGGCCTGGAATGGGCATTCCCTCATCCCAAATCTCCGGGAAAAGCGGGAATTAGGGAATTCCCTCCCCCGCGCGTGCCTCAGTTTCTCCCCTTCTCCCCCCCCTTTCCCCG